TACCTAACCTAATTATATGCTATGGTGGCATGTTCAAAAATAAGTTTTAGGAAAATTTCGAATTGATTTGTGTAATTCCCATGATCTCCCATTATTCAAAGCTTCTCAGCATTCCTCACAATACATCTCTTACTTCCTCATCAATTCGCCCCTAAAACGACTCATTATTCTGCCGTGTCATCTTGGAAGCAATACCTGCTGGTTGAGTGTTTCTCTGAATATACGATGTCATGTCCAAATTTCAAATTGATTTACAAATTCCAAACATTTGCGTATATCAATAACAATTCGCATGGATAGTCCCGGGTTCTGATGATTATTTTTATAGGAATTCATTTGTAAGACCAAAGCCCTTTGAAAGCTGTCCTTCACCCTCCCATTATTCAAAATTTTTCAGCATTTCTCACAATGCAGCTCTTCCTTCTTCAACAATTCTCGCCTAAAACTACTCATTATTCTCGAAATCGATGAAAATATCGTGTTTCCCATCTACTGTCTGCCGTACCATCTTGAAAACAATACCCGCTTGTTGAGTGTGTCTCTGAATATATCATAATGTCATGTCCGAATTTCGAATTGATTCGCAAATTCAAAACATTTATGTATATCAATACAAATTCTCATGGATAGTCCCGGGTCCTGATGATTATTTTTATAGGAATTCGTTTTCAGGATCAAACCTCTTTCGAAGCCGTCCTTCACCCTCCCATTATTCAAAGCTTGTCAGTATTTCTCACAATACAGCTCTTCCTGCCTCAACAATTCCCCCCTAAAACGACTCATTATCTTCGCAATTGATGAAACTATCGTGTTTCCCATCTACTGTCTGCTATATCATCTTGAAAACAATACCTCCTTATTGAGTGTTTCTCTGATCTGCGCCTGAGGTCCGCCATTTTCCAGCAATAAACTCTTCGTACTGCTTCCCTTGACTCTCACACTACTCCACCGTTGCACTAGCTGGCCCGCCTGTTGCTGCGGCACCTCAATCACAATCGGCGCTGTCAGTCTTCCATCCTTCAACGAGCCCCCCTTCTTCGAATGATGCTCCACCGATTTAGATCCTGACATCGTCATGTTACACTCATCAGTGTCAGATCGTCCCAGTAGGTTCTCCGACATAGCCCTCGGGGACTTGATGCATGTCATTGTCGTCGGTACAAACGTGTTTGCGGATGAGACAGATTTTACCAGTAAATTCTTGCCCTCCCTTCCCCACGCAGCGAGTTTCCGACCAATTGGCAGTGTTAATGAGCGTTTTGGCCAGATGCCAAATATCGAGTCCTTTGATTTGTCTTCATCATTATCGACTCCATCGTTGATATCAACGTTCAACGGAGTTGACGACTCCTCATTCTGCCGCTGATTACTCCGTCCCGGCCAATTTCTCGTCAATGAGCATGATGCTGATGCCACTGATGAACTAGACGATGATATCGATGCCGATGATCTCGAGAAGCTCTTCTTGAAAGGTCGTTTGGACGATCTGATCAGGCGACTCTCATTACCAAACAAACGATTCTTTTTCCATGATCTTCTTATGCTAGATGAATGACTCGAAAATGTTGATGAACTTATCGCCTTGTCTAGGTTATCATCATCAGTGTAGGAGGTTGTACACCGCAAACCTGGACACAAGTACAAACGATCATCTTTCTCCGTTATTTTAGCCAAATCAGAACCAGCTGAATCACTCGTTGTATCTGATGTTGGACGATGATGATTGTACGATGCTCTAGATGCTATACGTTTACGGCGAATTATCACTGGCGGTGGTGCACGATCAATTTTGTCAATTAGATACGCTGATGAGTCAACTTCGTGACTCTTTGGCTTCAATTCTATCTGATCATCTCTTCTATCCGTCCTGCTGCTTCGTTTCCATAATCCTCCGGATATATCTCTCCGCTTCCCTTCCTCCGTTTGGCTTCTCTCGTGCAGCTCAATTTTGAATGGATTTTGTGTCACTCCATTCAGTTTTTTATTATTCTTCTACCTGTTGTGTATGGGCCTCTGAGATGCTGAGAGTTTTATTGCATTTCATTTTGCCTTTTTTGAAGGGTAGTTCTCTGGAAATTCCTTTGTTTCCGGTTATTTTTGATGTTTCAATGCCCAATGGACCAGATTTATTGGCTTCACTGCCGGAAAACAATGACTTCACCTCCCATTGTTGGAAGAATATACAACCGTCACTTTTTATGTTTCTGTTTTCGATAACATTCAATAAGTTGATTGTTGATATTTCTTCCTCTGCGGGTTCAATTTTTCGCAGTTGTGCTTCACAAATATCGGATAACTTTTTTCATTACATTTACGGTAAACAAGAGACTGGACAGAACTGAATGGGTCAAATGCAGCTGTTGTTCAGTCCTTTTTTTAGGAATTATTATTGTGTAAAAAACAGTGTAAATTTGGAATTACAAATAACATCACCATTTCAAAATTGCTTCAGGGTAATAATTAATGGATGGATCAAGTAAACAACAGTCTCGTGGGTCTGAGGGGTTTTCCGACCCGATAGGAAAATCTGTAGATTAAACTTTATCTTTAATCAACGAAAATTGACGTTAATCAACCATTAATGTCAGTCTCACGCGTAAAAAACGACTGATTCACTTTACTTTTAATTAATTGTTTGGTTTATGTGCAGATATGTTTCTTAGTTATCAGTGCAATTAATTTTTTTTTACACAAATCAACATTTTTTAATCACTTAATTGAAAATTTCACGAGTTATCACATTTGTCCTCCCCATTTTCGCAATTCATTAAACTACCGGAGTTGAATTGAAACGTAACTCCACCATTATCAGCCTTTCAAATGTCCCCAATTCCGTGAAAAGAATATTGACACCTGACCCAGAAAAACCGGCGCCGCGAAATAAAAGCACCCCACTCGACTAACAATAGAATTCGCAAAAAAAATCGTACGAAAAAAATTTGAGAAAAATTAAAAAATAATTGTTCGCAAATTGAGGTATAAGTTCAAAACAAAGGGCCCCACCCGAATGTCACAAATTTCCTTGAAAAAAATGACTTCATCTCAGGAAGGGAAAATCAACAGTAAAATGTCGCCATCACAGAGCAATTGACAATTCACTTTGTCTAATTTTCCTTCAATCAAAACAATTGTATCTACGTTGAACACATAACGTTCTACACTCTCACGAGAGTTGTACTGCGCCGTGACAATTTTCGCGAGCGCCCTGTACCACCGCCACCTGTACACAAGAGGGGTTGCCTATTGATTCTTCCACGGCGAGAGTAGGCTAACAGAAGTGAGACAGATGTTGCTGAGGGAGAGAGACAGAGAGGGCTACTAGCAATGGATAAACCGGTGCGCAGGCGTAACCACTTGGCTCTATTTGGTCTATAGCGTGCACTTTTCATTTCGAGATGTGCTGTTACTGTAGTCAAAGCAATTCAACGCGGAATGTTGCAATTGATTTTTTATTAGTATATTACGATTTCATTGATTTTTGGAGTAATGGAGCAATTTATGAAATTCATTCATAATTGCCAAAAGTTTTGTTTTGCTTCGCATATACAGGATAAATATATCTCTTCTTCGAGGTTATGCTGTCTTGTGTTGCTTCTCATTTGCGAAAGAATAGTATATTACGCAACAAGTGCGTAATGGGTTTTTTGGCTCGTGGGAAGTTGTAAAACGAGCCGAAGGCGAGTTTTATAATCCCACGACTCAAAAAACACCATTACGCACGAGTTTCGTATACTATTTTATGTCATAGGGCCCAGAATCCGCGATTCTACCGAGTGAAGCGAGGTTAGAATCGCGTGATTCTGGGCACCTATGACATAAAATTAGTAATTTTTCCTCTTTCCTACACCCTCTCGGGTTTTTACGATTTGCCCCTTATCCCACCCCCCCACCCCCTGTACTGCGTTCGCCGAAGGACGAGGAAAAATCACACTTGAGGAAAAAACCTGCCCAGGTACAGTCGTCTCTTTTACGAGACTCCCGCTCGACAATGAAACTGTGAGATTGAGAGTGTCAGAAAATTTGGCGACGCAGCCGGGAAGCGAACCCGGGTCCTCCGCGTGCCAATCCTACACTAGCCACACAGCCACGGCCGTCGCCTTAAAGAAAATTAGTATATTTCATCACTTGTGCACAATGCGAAATTTTTCAACACATTGTAATGAAAAATAGGGTTCGACACTCATGCGAAAAGTGTTCTTTGATACTTTGGAGGGGTACACACCTCCCACGGGTCAAAAAAGGCTTTTACATACTCGTAGCGAAATGTAGTATTTCAGGAGGGTATCATAAAAATATTATATTTCGCTACGAGTGCGTAAAAATATTTTTTTGACCAGTGGCAGATGTATAGCGCTCGCCGAAGCCAAGTGCTACCCTCTTAAGGGTCAAAGAACACTTTTTCCACAAGTGTCGAACCCTATTTTGAATTGAAAATGTTAATCTTATCGCCTTGTCTAGGTTATCATCATCATTGTAGGAGGTTGTACACCGTAAACCTGCACACAATTACAAACTATTTTTCATCACAATGTGCGCAAAGTGCACATTAAAAACCATTTTTTTGAATTTTTTATTCGAAAGTGGACCTATTGTGAAATTCCACTTTACGCACAAGTGATGAAAAATGTCCTTTTTCCTCGTCTCTTGTGACCATTATCCTGTCATCACTCACTCTTCCCTCCTATTTGTGGCAAGGAATTTAAAAAAATAGGGGATTCCCCCTCGAAGTCGCTGATCCTTCGTTGTAAATATCATCCCACATCCCATGCCGAGAGGACAATACGTTAAGAATAAACAGAGCGCTCCACGTGTTATTATGTCCACTAGAATTATATCATATCAACAAAAAAATAAAGGTCAACATTATCTACCATCGACGCAGCAGGTCAGAAACTATGACCCGAGAATTATCAACGTGAACTCTAAAAATTATGTCTCGTAACATGATCTTCAATAGCTGGGGTTTGTCCATCATTTCAGTCATCATTGTGTCAGTTTACAGTACAGTCACATCATTCGGTAAGTGTTCCCATATTGGTCATAATCAACATTTTGTGTTCAATCATGTCAATATGTTCAATGAAATTGTTATTTCTTTCTATATTTTTTTAACAGTGTTCCAAGAAAGATGTCATCACCAAAGATCATCTACTTTCTACTATTATTTTCATCAATCTGTAGCTGTTTTTCCACACCTCTTAGCGTTTCAGAGGAAGACGTAAAAAAGTTCCTTCAACAGCGTAAGGCCAGACTGGAAGATTTCAACGGCACCCTAACAAGCCGAAATCACATCAAATTTTTCGAAATACTGAATAATGCAGTATTACACCCCAAGTCGGTCCGAAATACCCTGAATCTGATCGCCTCGAGCTATCCGTACTTCAAAACTCCATCTGACACGATCTACCAAGAATCAATAGAATTCCAGCAGGAATTCTTCCAGGTGATGCGGGATGTATATCTCATCTGCTGGCACACAAGAGCACAATTCTACTACAATTCCTTTCCTTCAGGATTCCATCCATTATCACCAAAGTCTAGCAACGACAGTTTGGTGGATTTCTGCCTCCTTTCCTCGCCGATGCAGGGTCTTCTGTATTTAACTTCACAAGTTCTTCTGGCCCCCAACATATCTTCTGCTGAGGAATCAAGGCAAATCTTCAACAGCAACATCGGCCTTTGGCGCAATCTGACAAATTACGTTTGTAATTGCGTTCCCATGCAAAAAGTAAAGAGTTATGGCTCTGATTACGAGGACCTATTGTCGTTGGCTTCCTTCGAACAGCAGGTGAGTGACTGGTCAGATTCATTTGCTGCTGTAGACACATCCGAAGAAGTATCTTCAACGTTAGAGACACTGAGTTTTTGGTCATCGCATCCTGAAGACTTTCGGAAGTCATTGACCCAAGGACTTCAGCCATCGGAAATCCTGGAGGATCTTCCGTTCTTTCCGACAGATGCTAGCATACGTGAGTTCAACAGCACCGCTGTCTACAAAGCTGTAACTTCACTGTTGGTCAATGAATCCACGGAACTTCTCCAAGAAGGGATTGGCTTACTTCGAGACACCTTTGTAGGATTAATCACTGTCAATAGGTCTGAGCCCCAGTTGAAAGCAAACATGGAAATGCGTTATTTATTCGATATGTCTGAGGTTACATTGCTGCAAGTAGCTAAGATTGCTGGAATGCACTGGAACCTTCGATATGTGTCGGATGTGGAGTTTTCGCGGTATTTCGCGAATTTGGACGACAACGGAGTCATGGGTCATTTTATTCATAACCCTGACCTTCCGAAGAATCCAATGATTAAGAGAATCCGAAAATCTATCAATGATTGCATTGAGCTGTACTGGAAGGTCATGAAAAGCCGAAGGATTTTTCCCCGACAAATGGAGGAACGCGATCGGGCTGTCGTGTGCAACTTCAAATCCGTGGGAGAGTTGACGAGCCGTGATCGCATACCCTTCCAGGGAGATTTTGAAATCGATAACCAAAGGCCATACAGCTATTCGATGAGAGAGATCCTACTGTCGTGCAGTCGGTGCATGGCGATTTCGTATAAAATCGATGTGGCTCTCGATAATTTACGGCGTAACGGAAATTATTCCTTTTCCATTGATTTGACATATGTTCCTCTCTTGCGGAGAATGAATGACTTCTTGAAAGATGCACCGAAGGAGTATAAAGAACAAGGGCTGACATTGATCAAACATTTGTACGAATACTCATGGGTTTTGGAGCCACAGTTGAAGTCAAATTCCATTCCTAACATCTTCTTCATGGAAGGAAGTAGAAAACATCGTGATGTCTTGCTGCGGGAATTGCAGATATTCGGACAACAGTTGAACATCAAGTATTTGGATAAATTTGGGGAGGAGTTGGTTCTCGATAATGGAACTGATGGGTCATTCAAATGGGTGGGCGGACGGCAAGTGGATCAATTATCTATGGAATCAACTGCCTATTTGAATCTACAATATATACTCGAAGCTCTTGTGAAGTTGATATTTGAAGTCATGGAGATCAAGAAAGGAGGATAAATCAATTTAGCTCGCGGGACAAGGGCTTCTGATGATGATTTCTAAATTGAAAAATGAATCAGAAAATAAAAATGTAACAATGAACATTGTTGAAAAGAGCAAAAACAATTCGATCATATTATTGAACGATATAACTTGGGTTTATTAAACTATAAGGTCACTCTTCTTGGAGAGAGCCGTCTGTGGGGTCTTACGACGAAACTCTAGATTCGAATATTCACTAAATCATATAAACATCTGATAAAGCCCTCGAAGAGAAATCATAATAAAAAGGCTGTGGTTTTTGGGTCTTTGTGGCTTCGATGTTCTGCGTTCAGTTCTGCGACTGATCTCGAAGTGAGAATACGTCTTAATCAAAATCAAGTCTATTTGCTCTTAAGAAAAGTGTTTTTTACTTATTCGTCTGGCTTAAAAAACAAATAACCATCGACTCATCCTCCGCCATGACCAAATAAAATCAGACGTTAAGTGGCCTTGCGGTCAATAATTCACTCAGATGTTAATCAGTTAATGAGTAGAGTCGACGTTTCGGTTCTACATCAGAACCCTCATCAGGACTAAAACCCTCTTTATTCTCATTTCAGCAATAAAATGATAAAATCCATCAATTCTAATCCATTATTAATATTCGGGCACTGAAAGTAATGCCGTGAATATTATTGGACCTACAAAAATGTAATGGAAAATTCATTATTGATACCGGATAATAGGTTATGAAGAATCCTTCCGTCAATAAATTCAATTAAATCTAAATACTATTGTTCAAATTTACGTGTCAATCTTGGGTTAGAATTGGGGAATAAGAAACTAATATATGGAACATTAAAATAAAACAATAAGGAAGAGTGAGGTAAAACGGCCCCTTTTGACTTTTTTTGTGATACTCATAATTCTGAAATAAATTCATTAATTAAGATCAGTCTAGGCTCATTCTAAAGGGGAAGAAGTGTATTTTCCATGAAAAAAAAATTATTCCATTTCATTTCAAATTGAATGAGCTGTTAACATTTTTGAAAAAATCAAAAGGGGCCGTTTTAAATAAATTGAATTCAATCTGAAACCACAGTTCAAAACCAGAGCTGCGCGCCACGAAATTGGCGTTTTGCAGGTCCCTCGACACGAAAATTAATATACACGCCTCGCCATGGAAAACATATCCCCCCCCCCCCCGTGCAAGATTGCCTTCCGAGCCGAAGGCGAGGGAAAAAAAAAACTTAATCAAATAATCAAGTAAGGGAGTTTGACCCTCTTGACCCTCGTAATCTATTGTTCCTTGTTGTACCTTGTGACCCGTATGGCCCTTATGACCTAAAAATCGCCTTCGGCTCAGAAGGCAATCTTGCACGTGGGGGACGGTATCTGTTTTCCAAGGCTCGGGCATGGAAACTACTATTTCCTACTCTTTGCGGTACATTTCGCCTGGAAAGACCATCTGAACCCACTTTACTGTGCGAGCACGGTAATTTTGCTCGTACATTTCTCTCCGTGTAGAGAAAGTCAAAATTGGACGATTATACAATGCTTCCATTCGGAAGCCAAAAATTACCTGTTCCTCTTTGGCTCGACTGCTATCATCCTGTTCTTTCTCAATATCTTCAACCAGTTCATGCAGAAGACGAATATCCTGGGGGCTGGGGGTGCCATTAGCCCTGCCAGCCCCCGCATTCATTGCACTATGTGGCGCCACTTCACAATTACCCCCACGATTTCCCTCACCGACAATTACAACAACATCCTCTATAACTTCACCACTCACTATCAATTCAACTTCCTCCTCGTCGTCTAGATCGATATTACTGTCGTACTCATCTCTGTGCTTCCAGATTAATGACCAATCCGACCAACTGTGTCCGAGTATTTCATCACCCGTCAAACGTCTATTTTCGTCCTCGGCATCGCTCATTTAATTGTTCATTTAAGAGGTCCACTGAGCTTCAACCTCCACCCCCTAATTCCTATTTAGTGGTGATCAGTGTTTCTGGGTTCTTCGAATTGTCTGCAGATTCAAGGAAAGTTGTAAGAGGATTTTCCGGGAGCCGTGGGGGGGGGGGAGGGATGAACTATTGGAGATGGGCATTGGAAGGGTTTAATCATGATTGCGTTCTTTAAAGTTCTTGCGGATTTAGAAGACAAAACATTTCAGTCCGGTGCAGTTTAAGAGGATGGATTTAGGAAAATAATAGGGGTATTTCATGATTTTATTTTTCATTCGGTGATTCATGTCCAAATAGTTTTTTTAATAATAAAAAAGATGGCCTTGGAAGACGTCACAATAACGCCCCGCCAACGCCGACTCTCGCCGGATTTGTACGGGGTTGTGATGTCATTGTCCCCTGCCTTCGCAATTTTTTGATAATTTTTATTTGAAAAAATGAAGTCTTGAAATTGTGGAATTCTTTTTCAATAATTTATTCGCAAAATAGGATGCATGAAATATTCCTATTATTGCCTATTATTCAAGGAAAGTTATAAGGGGATTTTCCGGGAGCCGCGGGTGGGGGGAGAGCTATTGGAGATGGGCATTGGAGGGGTTCAATCATGATTGCGTTCTTTAAAGTTCTTGCGGATTTAAAAGACAGAACATTTCAGTCCGGTGCAGTTTAAGAGGATGGATTTAGGAAAATAATAGGGGTATTTCATGATTTTATTTTTCATTCGGTGATTCATGTCCAAAGATTTTTTTTAATAATAAAAAAGATGACCTTGGAAGACGTCACAATATCGCCCTGTCAACGCCGACTCTCGTCGGATTTGTACGGGGTTGTGACGTCATTGTCCCCTGCCTTCGCAATTTATTGATAATTTTTATTTGAAAAAATGAAGTCTTGAAATTGTGGAATTCTTTTTCAATAATTTATTCGTAAAATAGAATGCATGAAATATTCTTATTATTTGAAGGAATCCCTCAAGTGCGCAATCGAATGAAAGATCTTCGAACAAAAAGAAACGACACTCATAAACATGCACATAAGTTTTTAAAAACCAAAAGACTAGGGCTGCCGAAATTCAAGTGGCGAAGTTGATTGTCGCGTGTCGAAAAGCAGTTGTTGATATATTGTACCAGAATGCGGAAGAGGGTGGGGAGCGTGTGAGCAGGTGGTTCTCGTGGGACAGGTCGAGTAACACATAGATTAGCGTGTGACCCGTAGTACTAGAGAGAGAGGTGAGACCAAAAGGGGTGTTTGATGAAATAACTGGACGTACTGTTGAATCGTTAAGGGCGGATGTGTGTCGGGGACCTCTGTTATAATACTAATGGGTCACGTGTCTTTCTAGGGGTCATATCGGGGTCAAAACGGCCATTCCCTTCATGAGTCCAATTTCTTTAGTTGTAAATCATAATATTTTTTCAATTTTGCTTCTGAATGGAAGCATGGTATTCGTTAAGGTGTTTCGGTTGAAAAGTAAAAAATAATGAAAAGAAATTGGAAAATTCATGGGAGAAATTTCTAAGTATGCTGCATCATTGAGAATTGTTGCACATTTTCTTCAGATCTCAGTTTCAAGAAAAAAAAAATGAAATTTGGATATTTTTGTAACTTCTTCAGCTATAACCTCCGAGGTTACCCCACTCTCAATTAGAGAAATTTGCATGGGACCCAAAAAAAATAATGAACTATTGAGGAAAAACTAGTGGGTGATAAATTAAATCTTTCTTGAGACCACGTATACGTTTCAGATTTTTTTCAGATTTTATAAGAAAGTTATTTGAACAAATGATTCGGAAAATTATGAGTTTTGGGGCAATTACGCCCTCACGCGCAGGCGCGTGATTCGAACGTCAGTTAGTATCATGGGACAGGTATGGGTTGGACTATGGAACTGAGAGGGAGAAAACACTCGACAGGTTTACCAACTCGAGACGCATTTTAATATTATTTCAATATTTAGAATAACATCCAATAAAAATTATTTGACACCCATAGGTGATGAGAAAAAAATCAATCAATCTGATAAATAAAATCAATATTCAAAAAATGTTCAAATGAACACTTAAATAGTTACTTGAAAATTGAAAAATTTCGTGCTCAGAGATTGAATCAGGGCTCGAGAACCATAAGACTTCCCTTCCGTTTAACCGCCCGGTGATGTACACACAAAACACATTAAATCCGAAATTACCAATTTTTTGGGTCAGAGTAACTAGTTTTGGCCTCAGGAGTTCGACTATAGTCATAGATGCTACTTTCATCGCTTGTGCGCACAGTAAAATTTTACGCACACTTCGCGAGCGCAAAATCCCACTTTCCACACGTCGTGGTGAAAAATAGGGTTCGACACTCGTGGGAAAATTGTTCTTTGCCCCTTTCCCAAGAGGCAAAGAACAATTTTCGAAAGATTAAACAATTTCAATTATTTATTTATAAACAACGAATGCTTAAAAGAAAATAATTCTGAACAAAATGTTATTTGAATAACACGGAATATTCATGTTTTTTTGTCAAATTTTTCTTACGCAATTTAATTAACAACTCAGACGGAATAATGTATATTTTGAAAAATATATTAAAAAGCCTATTGAATTGGCCCAATTTAAATATATTTTTTTGTATATATTTTGATGGGGGAAATTTGATGACTGAAAATGGTTGAATCTACAGTGTGGTCTGTACCAAATTGTAAAAGATACTCGGATATCCTTAAAGTATTCTTCCCAATGCCATCTTGACCGAGTTCCATCACGCGATGGACTGCCTCATCTGTCGTTGAAAAAATTATTTTGAAATCAATACTCTGGGAAAGGTGAAAAATTTGAATGTTGGGGCTGCCCAGGTTGGGTCGATGGTGAGTTCAATTTAAAATACAGCATAACAGAAATTCCATTCTGGCAAATTGCTAATTTATTAGCAAAAATGTATTAACTAGGGTGCGACGAGAGCCACACTGTTAAAAAATTTTCACTGCAGTTTCCAGGCTTTAGTCTTGAAATATGAAACAAGTGACGGTTTCATTGAAATTTCAGGGAATTTTAACATTGAAAATTCGTGGTTTTCGTGGAAAATTCATGGAAATTTTCAATTTCAGTTGAATTATTCCATGGAAATTGATAGAAATTAGGAAAATTCAAACAAAAATGTCCTTGAATTTTCAATTTTTTGAAATTTCAGAGCAATTTCTTATTGAATTATCATTTTTAAATTGAAAATTCATGGAAATTTCGGAATCTTCATGGTTCTTCCACTGAAAAATCATGAATTTCCTTGAATTTTCAGGGAAACTTGAAGTTTCATAGACTTGTTTCCGTTAAATTGAATTCAGTGGCATTTTCGGGAAAATTCAGTTAAATTTTCTTAACAGTGCATTTGCCACTTGTTTTTAATCGGTTTTCACGGGGAAATACCCGATTTTTCCGGAATTAATAAATGCCGATGAAGTGTCATTGAAAGGATCAAAGTGATATCAATTTTGGTGGTTGATGACACATGACAATTCCACGCCTCGACAATTTTATAATCAATAAACCCTACACTCGACTCTCGCTATAAATTCAAATCACGTGGTAAATCAGTCTCTGGAAATTGGGTAATGACCGTAAAAATCGATGATTCGAAAATTGATTGGAAATTACTTGAAACTACTTCAGTTAGGGAGTGATGATATACGTGCCTGTGGAGACCTTAAACAAACGTTTATGGCTCGTAAATTGTCGGTTTCTCGAGACAAGGCCGTCAGTCATTGATCAACTCCGTGTACGTGTCTATCGTGTATTTTGTATTCATAACTGAGGTACTGAATGTGAAAAAAGGGGGACG